TCCTTAGAAAGGTCCTCCAAGAGGGCATCCATCCCCCTTAGGCAGATAACCCTCGAGTGCTTTGCCATAATCAAATAAACTAAACCTATCTCATCTATTACTGGGCTATTATCGCAAGTTATTCTTTTGTCTCCTAGCTGTTTGGTATGCAGATGACTGCTGTCCCGTAAAATATTTTATTGTTCGCTGTCTGATTCAATATGTCATTGCATACGACAGATTAAACGTTCGTATAACTCAGCTTTCATTTCGTTCAAAGTAATGGCTATTTCTTGACAAAAGCAATTCTCATTTTCTGTATAGATTCGAAAGTCAGACTGCGCTTAAGATCTGAAACATTTGTATTTTATAGATAGCAGTGTACGTATCTCAGAGATATTTAACCATCAATTTAGTACAATATTATTAATTTATTGCTCTCACTGTTCCTTTTTTTTTATGTCCGCGTACTAAATATAGCGTGCTAAATTTGCATTTATGCCTGCTACTGGAATTATAAGTCTATATCGCACTGTACGTAAGCACTTCGTTTGATTCGTCTTCACCGTGTTGCGACTTCCGTGAACGTGACAAGTCAGTGAACCGTGTACGTATAAATAATTTATATCTTTAATTTCAAACTTTTCTAGAAGCGTAAACTACGTTATGTCGATAACATTTGACTCCGAAAGTCATCAATGTAACTCTTTCATTAGAGGAAATGTTGAGACTCCGAAAGTCATCAATGTAACTCTTTCATTAGAGGAAATGTTGATTGATGTCATGAAAGTCGCCCGTCGGCTCTCTTTTTAGTCTGTTTGTGTTATCTTTGAATCAAGGCTCAAAATCCAGCCCCCCCCCCGTTTTACGCTTTTGAAAAGGATGTCTTTCGTTTCTTTTTTACCCGTTCTCCAAGATAAGCTTTCGCATTTGTCATTGACATGCTAATTGGTTAAATCATCCTTATAAAAGAAAAATATGTAAATTGCACATTGAAACAATTCTATTTCAGTAAGTTTACACTGCCATTTGAAATATATCATTATGAATTTTCCCTTAAATGATATATGCAGCTCTAAAATGATGGACTGTATATACATGACATTGTATATATATATAAAAGAAAAAGCAGGTAAAAATCGTTTAGACGTCTCACAATGAAAGCTACATATAACGAAATTATCAATGTGGCAAACACATAACCCAAAAACGCAAAAAAAAAAGTAATAAAATTTGCAGAAAGTTTCCAAAATACGAATTATACCTTTCAAGATTATGCAAAATGAGCATTAATAGGAAACAAGTTTATTTGAATATTTAATTATCATTATAAGTTTGCGAATAGGTAGTTTAAACATTAGTTGTTTTTATTCTATTACATAAACATATATAAATGAAGGATATTATTCTATTTATTACAGCTAGTAATAAATAAACACGTTAGTTGTTTCTTAATATAAATACGTAAAAGATCGCTAACATCTTAACACCGTATATTTTTATAAATGATTAGTCATTTGATTGTAATGGAGATTTTTAGTAATTCAAGTGATGAATTTTTCTTATTTATAAATGTAATCCATGATAGTTGTTTTGTTGTCGATCTCTGAAATGTGAGATCGGCGAAAACTTTATCTTGTATTTATTTTCTCTTATGAATTGTTTTTTTTTTTTTTTTGTACATATTTCAAATTGTTTTCACAATGACTGGTCATTTAAACTCGTTTTTTAGAGGAAATATTATCAACACTAATAATCTATTATTACGCTATTGTAGAACTCTTTCTGAACATTGCTGTATTATCTGAAGAATGAGCTGTACTGCTAAATAACAAGATATACAGAACTACACAACTCCTTTTCTTATTTCTTCAGAGAAGAAAACGTTACGTAAACATGCAGAGAGACCGCCCTTCGCTTTCGAATTTGTTCTATAATCCAAATGTCGGTAGCTTTACTTTTTAAAAACGAGGAGCTATTTTATTAATACTGTATTAGTGTAAATTACTCCTCATAGTTTGTTAGTACTTGCTATGGCTTAACATGGTTTATTTTTTTATCAGTATTATATAATGTTACGTTACTAATAAAGTTTTGATATCATGAGCGTTGCTCAAAAATTGTTGAACATTGGCAAGTCGGTCCAAGGTTCGAATCATGCGAACGGGCTGGCTGCATTGGCGTTTTCATGGATTTTCCCCATGTGTAACGTTCATACGAGACAGTTTCCTTTAGAAAGTATTCCACGAAGGCATTCCTTTCCTTAGGGCCTAAGGGAAGGAATGCCTTCGTGGAACAGCGTAATCAAATAAACCAAACCAATGACCTTAAGCCTGATTATCAGAATTTAGTTGTTTTACCCACGCAGGCTTTAAAAATTCTGAATTTCTAAGCTGTTTTAAGTATAATTTTTTGAATTTATTCACATATGGAGCGTCTGTAGATCATTTCACGTCATTTTTTTCTTCCTTAAAATAAACCGAAATTAATTTTATGTATAATTTGTCGAAGAGAGAGTGAAACAAAGAATTCCTTGAAATACTTATATAATTATAATCTGGACTAGTTATATATCTTTTACACATTTAAAATTGTAATGTAGATTCTTTATTTTATCGTCTCGGGAACAATCAACGTATTAGTTGAAAATGTGAAGTGGATCATTGAAAATAGCGATTATTCAATTTTAAGAAAGCAAGGTAGAAGAGTTAGGTATTTGCTACGTGACAGCAAAGGGCGAATTTAGTGCAATTGATCGTAGCGAAGTAATTTAGAAGCTGATGTTTGTTTTTATGTTAAAGGAATGGATATTGGTTAAGGAATATATGTGCGTACAGGGTTGATGGAGTTAAGAAAATGATATTTCGTTTTTGAAAAATTATTTCATATTTACAGGATGACAATAATTAAAGTTCCTCTATTCAGAGCTGCCTACAGCCATAACCAGTCATCATAAAAGTATGAAACTTTGTGTATGACGTAAAACATTTAACAAAAAACCTAATTAATTCCAAATAGCGCCACTAGAGAGTGTATTGCTCTGAAACACTCTAGTTAGCGCATGCAGATTTTTTTCAACTCCGCGCAACTATTGTTGTAAAAATCTGCGAATATTTGGCAACGAACTTGTTTTCAGTGTCAGTCGTCTCTCATGTTTGCACGTTGAGTTTCCGCAATACGCTTTTTTGTTTAAATTCTGTTATTGAATTGCCGGTTCTTTAGCAACTGCAGTATGGCCATTTCGGACTTTGAAGGTGGTACGAACAGGCCCAGTGACTGCTAAAGAATTCCGAAAAATAATAATGATATTTGAAGCAACAGGATCAGTAGCTATTCATCCTGAAACAGGAAGATAGCTCGTTTCTACTGAGCTGGGAGAGGGTGTTGTGCAGGGCCGTTCCTAGCGGGGGTGCAGCGCGTAAAAGTACGTGGTCGGCAAAAATCAGGGGCTGCCGAACTCTCGCGACATCACGCCCAAATATTTTAAATTCATTGTAAGTACGTACTTTTTATACAATTTGTCATATGTAAGTCGTTAGTGAGTATGAAATGAAAAAATTATTTAATGGTTCAACATTTTTTAAAATTTGGGGGCGGCAATCTTAGGAAAGTACGCAGGAAACCAATGGCCTAGAAACGGCCTTGATGTTGCGTGTCAAGTGGAGGAGGACAGAGCTTCAGAATTAAAGGCTAGCACTAGTGTAGTCTGTTTAGCACAGGAGTTGTAAAGGCCACATTCAGCTGTCCGTAAGTTCCTATGGAATATTCTCCGATGCTCTCCATATAAATGTTCACTCGTGCAGCAGTTGCTTACGTATGATTCTGACACTCGAGTCCAGTTCTCACTGCACTTCGTTGCTCTCTGTGAGATTGATTCGAAATGACCTTGGAAAATACTCTGGTCAGACGCAGGGCATTTTATCTTCATTTGGACGCTTCAGTAAGTACTTACAAAAGTCCGAATTTGTCACAAAACCTTCACTCAATCCTTGATTATTTCGGATGATTGAACCCAAGAGGGAAGACCCCAAGAGGGAACGTATAATCCCAAGAGGGAAGGTATGATGTGACCCCAAGAGAGAAGGTATGATGTGGATTTACTGCATCATTTATTCTGGAGCCGTACTCTTTGAGGATTTAACTCTGATAGGCACTGGGCATCTATAGGGTGCTCTCTTAAAAAACAAATTTTTTCTGGCTATGGAAGAATGTCCATGCTTTTCACATAAAAGACGTCTTTCCTTATACGAGATGGGGCTCTCCTACACATTGCATGATATGTTAAGAATGTTCTCAAAAGACATTCTGTGCATCATTAGCTGTTACTTTTGCCATGTGTGGCTCTCTCTCCCGATTCTCAAACCTGAAGCTATGTGATTTTTGGCTTTGGGGGGAATTTGACACATCTGGTCAGTTATAACAATCTAAACACATTGAGAGACCTTAAAAAGAGCATTTTGCAAACATATTTGGGCAATTGTGATCCATGCCATCTTAAGATTTCAAATCTAGCTGACAGAGATAACCACCGTGTAGAGTATGTGTTGCTAAAATAAAAAATATACAAGCAAAAAATGTAGCTAAATTTGTAATTTATTAATAAAACGCCCTCAGTGGTGATAAGTGGGACTTTTTTTTTTTTTTACTAAATGTCTTTTCCCATCATTTTATTACATCATAAACGAAGTTTCTCATTTATCTCATAATATAGTTGTAGTCAGCTCTGAACAAGGGGATTTTAATTATAGTTACTCTGTATTTGGCAGAATTATTTGCTTTTATTCAAACATAAGATTTTGAAATTTTATTTAATTATACATTAATCTTTAATTTTTGTTAATGAAAAAAATGAAGCACTTTTTTATGAAGAGTCAGTTTCCAAGAGTATTAGAAACCGGAGCGGTATTCATCTTTACTAATTATCATATATTTTTTAATTAGCATGCATCTCCTTGTTATATTTAATATGTTTGAAGTTTCTGCATCAACGATACCTAAATATCTATTTAATTTCGTTTCAGATCACCGCTAACATGCTGGCGTTTATCTGCGTGAACGTGGTCGGAATATTTGTCCATAATCTCATGGAGAGAGCTCAGAGGAAAGCTTTTCTGGACACCCGCACATGCATCAAAGCTCGTCTCGAAATGGAAGATGAGAATGAGAAACTGGTAAGTTTGGCTTATCGGCCTTAAATACTACTATCAGTGCAGCCAACTTCTGATTAATCGGCAGCGAATTAACCGGGTCTTCTACACAATTTGTTTTTTATCTCGGAATATCACGTTAAATTTGTTAACGCGAGATGTACAAAAACGTTTGTTTGATGATGTACAAACACGTTGTTTTTACATCGCGTGAAATTTGTTTTTCGGGGAACGATGGAAAAATTAGTATCTCGATATACCAACTACCGCGTTATACCACTTTAAATTTGTTTATCGCGAAACCATGGAAAAATTACCATCTCAAACTATCAGAATAAGCTAAAATTTCTACGGGAGATACAGAAATGAGAAGAAAATGTATGAGATACCAGGACTGGTAGCAAATGATGTCACAATATTTTGGAAATTTTTTTTTTATCCTCAGCAATACGTAATTCAGTTATACATCATCTGGAATATACATTGTTAAATTATACATTAAAATAAATTGTTAAATCATAAAAATAAATTAAGTGTGCACCCATTAATCTTTTGTTTCTCATTGATTACTATCGAAGTACAAGAGTAATATTAAAAAAAAGTTGTCCTTTCTGTATTGAAGTGTGTAATTCTTGTTTTGAATTCTGATTTAGTTTACATAACCAAATGAACTTTCATCCAAATTAAACTGTTTAAAAATGCTGGTAAATTTGTAGTGGTATTCTTCTATGAATTATTATACATATTATTCCTCTTCTATTTGTTTTTCTAACTGCTGTTGAATTAACCGGGCATTTTGGGTTAACCATGTAGATCATCCCTGGTATTATCCAGGTTAATCAGGAGTCTACTGTAATTTACAAATGGCTGTTGAAATGGCATTTTCTATATACGTTTTATTTGCACTAATTTACTCTTTAAACATTTTTTTAGACCATCATAATCGTAATTTGTTCAGTCATTCTTTACTGAATAATAAGGTTGTATACTTTGTAGCTAACGTGCGAAAGTTCGATATATTTCTAAAGAAATTCGAGACTCGGTTGTATAGACTGAGCTAGTAAATTAGTTGTAATCTTAGTAAATGAGAATTAGTGGATATGAAGTCAAAACGTATTTAATTAAAGAAGCTGTTCATGATTAAAGTTATATGTAAGTAAACTGTACTTAGTTAAACGTATATGTATTTATTAGCTCTCATTTCCCACTAAAAGTATTCCTTTAGATAGTCTTTTACGAAGTCATTCTGTTCTTTAGATAGTTAAAATATTTTGCTTTTATTAAATTAACGTACGCTTATTGTCATTTTAGCGCGATTAGCACATCAAGCGCAAAAGGTGGTCTTGTGTCTTCTTCCTCTAAAAACTGAAATATTGTTACGCAGTTTCGGAAATTTATTAAGGAATGTCTCATCAAGTAAACAATATTAGTATATTCAAATGTCTAAAGTAAGTTATACGCATACACACACGCAAAGAGATTAACATGTCATTTTACCCAAAGAGAATAAGGGGGTAAAAAGAAAAAAGTGAGTCTTAGAGGAAGTGTAAGTCTTAGGTTGGGAGGTATAATTCAAAGAACAGTTTCATCAAAATTATTAAGCCAAGAGTGTCCCATAGAACAAAAGGTAATGAACTTTAAGAAATTTTAACCAATTTATAAGAACAGAATCAGCGACACCATTATATTCTTAGGTCAAACGACATCTAGCATAGGCGTGAGTATAATACCGAATATATATATATATATATATTTATACATTCTGAATAAACTGTAATATGCAACTAAAGCAAATAATATGTGCATAACTCTCAATATTTAAAGATGTTTACAGTATTCTTTGGATATTATAAAAATGACAAGCAGTCAATTCTGTTGAGCTTCGATAAGTGAGATTTGAGACATGTCAGTACTCTCTATCCTTTCTCTAGTTTCATAATTTCTTCTTCCACATGCTCTTAAAGACAGCTAAGTTAACGCCTTCTGTATGGTGTATCTCTTCATGAATCATAAATTCAAAGATCGTTTCGTTTCAGGAGTCAAGGTTGGGAGAGCATTAGAATTTCAAATCAAAATTTCAAGAGTTCACGGAACATAGAAATAACATTTATTAACGATAAACTTATATTACTTCCGCATATAGCGGCCATGAAACATAATCAAGCATCAAATAAATATGACATGCGTCATCGTTCACGTTCAAGCGTCAAGTGATATATTTTTCATCGGCGCGCATCAAGAGCGCCACCTATCTACCAAAAAGACGGAACATACTCCGCCCCGATGAACATTGGTTTCATTACAACATTATTATAAAGATCTTCAATTTTAGATTCAAACAAGTTTTCCAAAAGTTCAACAGTATATCATATAAAATAAAAATGCATAATGACAAATTTAAATTGAATAACAACATTAAATTTAGCACAAAATTTTACAAATAAAACATACTTACTGTCTCTAGAAGGAAATCAAAATAATGAAACTGCTAAATTACCATAATCCACAATTGTGGTCCATTCTCTGAATCTGAAACATAATTGAATTAATAATAATAATAAAGACAGAAATTATGAATATACAATTAATGGTTTTTTTTTTTTAGAGTCTTATTCACTCAATGGTAAGCGGGAAAGTTTATGTATAGGACGCTTCATTTCGCCCAATAAAGTTTTTAGTTTCACAACACGAACTTTTCCATCAGCACCAGGATATAGTTCAATTACTCGTCCAAGTCGCCACTTTAATGGAGGCAAATTTTCGTCCTTTATCAAGACTAAGTCATTGAGGGCTAAATTTGGTTTATCCCTCAACCATTTGGTACGCCCTTGTAATTGTGAAAGATAATCTCTAGACCAACGTTTCCAAAAGCTCTGGAAAATTGCTCTGGAAATCAATTTCCATCTTTCAGCAGGGGTTAGCTTATTATTTGTAAGATCAGGTTCAGGAATTGCTGTTAATGCAGTCCCAATTAGGAAATGTCCAGGTGTTAAAGGATTAAAATCTTCAGGGTCAGATGAGATGGAAACTATTGGCCTAGAATTCAAACACGCCTCGATCTTGTGTAATTAAGGTGTGAAATTCTTCGTATGTCAGAACCTGGGTACCAATAGTCCGCTTTAAGTGAATCTTCATTTGTTTCACTCCAGCCTCCCAAAGGCCTCCAAAGTGAGGGGCAGCAGGAGGATTGAAGATCCATTGAATATTTTCACCGCTCAGGTAGTTTTGAAATGCTTCGTCAGAGGAAAGTGTAGCTTATGTATCTTCTTAATTCTCGATCAGCCCCAACAAAGTTGGTTCCTCTATCGGAAAAGATTTTCTTGGGTTTTCCTCTGCGTGACACAAATCTTTTCAGAGATGCTAGGAATGCTTCAGTTGTTAGATCACTGACTACTTCTAGGTGAATGGCCTTTGTGGTGAAACATATGTAAAGGCAAACGTAACATTTATATCTCGTTCCTCCTCTTTCCTTTCCTAGCTTTAATTAAAAAGGGGCCTGCAAAATCTAGTCCTGTATTCGAGAATGTTCTATCCGGCAATACGCGAGAAGCAGGTAGGTCGCCCATTATCTGACTGGATGTGCTTGTTCGATTTTTAAAACATTTTATACATTTCCAAATTATTTTTCTTACAATTTCTCGGCCATTAACGATCCAATATTTCTGTCGCAGAGCAGATAATGTTAATGTGGCTCCTCCGTGAAGGTTCACTTCGTATGAAAGTGTTTGACTATCAAATTCAGTAACTTGGTGACTTTTGGGAAGAATGATTGGATACTTTGTGTTTTCTGAAAGATTCGAGTTACAGAGTCTACCACCGACTCTAAGGATTTCTTCTCTATCAAGAAAAGGATTTAATTTCAGGATTTTACTGCTGAGATTCAATTTCTTCCCTGCTTTCAAAAGTCTAATTTCTTCTCTAAATTCGGAATTTTGTATGATTTTGAAAATCAAATTGCTTGCCTTATCCAGTTCTTGAATTGTTAAAAAACCCTTGAGTTTTAAAGATGTAGGTTTAATATTGTTGCAGAATCTTAAACACCATGCAGTTACACATTTCAATTTTTTTCCAGATGAAAACCTGGATGTCAATTCAGATTCAGCCTCTTGGCTAATAACAGAACATAAAGTAGTTTGACGCTGTTCTACCTGTACCTCTTCTACTATAGGCTCAGTCAAAAGATGATGAAGGTAGATTTTTCTCCTTTAACCACACTGGTCCATTTAACCAAAGTTTATTTCCCACTAGATCAGGAGTTCTTAATCCACGTGAAACTATATCAGCCGGATTTTCGTTTCCCTTACAGTATTTCCATTTGCGAAGGTGATACAACATCTTGTATTTCACGTACACGATTAGCAACAAAGGGTTTCCATTTATCAGCGGTACCCCTGATCCAGTGAAGAACAATTTTAGAGTCACTAAAACAAAATACATTATCTTCTTGGATATTAAATAATTTCCTTAAATATTTAACTATTCTTGCGGCAATAATGGCTCCCATAAGTTCTAAACGAGGCAAGGTTAATTTTTTAAGTGGGGATACACGGCTCTTTGAAAGAACAAAAGACGTACAGCAAGAATCAGGATCACGAAAATATGCAACAGCTCCATATCCCTTGAGGCTGGCGTCACAAAAGACAAAAAGCTCTATTTTATCGAAATTTACACATTCATCATTTAATATGTATTTTCTAGGAATACACAAGTTGAGAATAACTTCAATTTCAAAGTACCAAGTTTTAAATTTTTCACTCAAATAACTGGGCAAAATTGTGTCCCAATCAATACCCAATTCCCATAACTCTTGTAATAAGAAATTTTATTCTGATAACAAAGGGTGCAATGAATCCAACTGGGTCATAAATTTTTGCCACAATCTGTAATACCTTTCGCTTCGTAACGTGTTTCCAGTCAACTGGTTGTAAAAGTTCTTGTACATCTAATTTCAATGTGTCCTCATCCAAATCCCAAATTATTCCCAGCACCTTTAACGTTTTCTTATCCAATTTATCTTCCTTATT